AGAAAGAGCAGTTCAGATGTTAGATTTTAGTTCAATTCAGACTAGTATATTTAATATACAAAATTTCATATCTATGTTAAGTTAAAGATAAAAGATCACTGAAAATATATGTAACCTCTGTACATATATTGTCTTAGTCACTGCAGAAACAAAAAAGTAGAAGAATATAAAAGAATATTTTAAGCAATAGTTGTAGAGAACCAGATTTTAATAGCAAGAAGTATGTTCCCTATTTAAAAGGAATAAAAGAAAGTTTAACAATTTCAGGTTTTCAAACATCAGGACCATGAACTGAACAAAAGGAACTTTGGAGGTAAAGCCAATACCTCTGGGCAGAGGCATGGCATTTTAAGAGACATAGAGAGGAGGAAGATTTGGAAATTAAAAGAAAAGAAAATTTGGGGGCCAGGCACAGTGGCTCACGCCTGTAATCCTAGTATTTTGGGAGGCTGAGGTAGGAGATTGCTTGAGGCCAAGCAATTCAAGACCAACCTGGGCAACAAAGCAAGATTCCATCTCTACAAAAAATAGAAAAATTAGCCAGGTGCAGTGGTGTGTGCCTGTAACCCCAGCTACTTGGGAGGCTGAGGCAGGAGGATCTCCTGAGCCCAGGAGTTTGAGGCTGCAGTGAGCTATGATGATGCCACTGTACTCTAGCCTGGGTAACAGAGTGAGACACTGTCTCAAAAAAATAAAGATAAAAAATAAAAGAAGACTTGGAGATAACAAACGGTCTTTAAAGAATTTCAGCTGCTATGTTGAAGCTGAATGAGAACTATAAAAGTGGCAAATGTTCTCATTTCTATTCCTGAAATAATTTGAGGAATTAGAGATTTAGAATGTTAATAAATTCAAGTGAGGCCAGGATACTTAAAAAGTTAAACAATATTTAAGTATATAAAATAACAAAAAATATCTCAAGTATGGTTCCAAAATCCCTCAACCATGCTCAAATATTAGATGACAAAGTAGTCTTAGATAATGTCAGCAATTAAAAAGTAATGAAACTTTTTAATTATAACTAAGTACATATCTCCCACTTACTTGGCACATTTTGATAGCCTTCTTTTCAAGGTAAGATAAGTAAAAGGATAAATTATGCCCTAATGCTGGGTTCATAGTAGATATCACATAAATTGCCAATTGATTTACTTGTCCATCCAGCATTTGTCACATCTATTAAACAGTAGGCACTGTGTCAAGTGCAGGGGACACAAAGCCAAATAAGACAGAACTCTTTATTGGGAGGACTACGGTTAAAAAACATCATATTTATAATCAAAACAAACAATATAAAAAGTGAAACAGAT